TCATTTTAGTAACCAATGCATTCATAAATAAACCTGGATTAAGTTGCTATCATGATGGACAATAAGATATGATTATTACCAAGATGAAGACGACCTGGTTTCTGCCTTTGAGGAACTCATGGACTTATGCAAGAAACAGAAAGATAAGTAAAACATATTGTGTGCTCAGGGCTATGAGTGAGGCAAGTATGAAGCTAATTTCTGCTACAGACAAAGATAAGGAAAATGCATCCTTTCAGGAGGACTCCTGAGAAAGTTGAAGGATTACTGGAGGTGGTAACATGTGACCTAGGTTTGAAGTCATCCTTCTAGAACTCTCAGGTCTAGAACCCTACCACCACCACCACCAACACACACACACACACACACACACACACACACACACACACACAGAATATGGGGAATAAGGTTAAGCAAGTTTAGGTGGCAGTGTGCTCAGAGGATTTTAGAAAGAGGGTCCCTTTATTAGGTTGTGTTGTTGAAAGACATCTCCACTGCTGTTCGAGAGGCAGATTAGAGGAAGGACAGTTGGGAAGATGGGGCAGCAGTAGGAAGGGATGCTGAAGTCCAGAATGAAAGCAGTAGCAGGGCACAGAAGAGAGAAGCCTCTATCCTAGTTTGCACTAGTGATATATGTTGTCAAAATGAATGTTAGTAAGGAAGAAATGGAAGTTGATGAAGCATTTGGGACTTCTAAGCACCAAGCATCGGGGACCCACAGAATTGCTCTGTCATTAAGTGTGGTGGAGAATACAAGAGGAGGAGCAAGCTCAGGTTGTGAAAGGGAGAATTAACAATGTATAGAGAACCTAGCTTCTGTCATGTTCTTATGTCAATGAGAAAAAAAATAGAGACTTCACTTAACTATTCATCTTTATCAGTCTTTTATGTAAGTCTGATTTTATATCATAATTTTAGCTATCACAGAATTAGAGTGATCACTATTTGTAAAATTTCAGATTTTTACATTTTCAGTGTATTGAAAAATTATCAAAACTTAAGTGTAAGGATTATGCTCTTGTTCTAGATATCAATTTTACAATTGTAAGTACAATAAGATATGTCYGTATTTTCAGTTCCTTCTTGGTTCCTTCTTGGTCTGGAAATGAGTGTGATTTTTTTTTTGCTACACATGTTTAGTCTTATAGGAACATACATGGTTTGTTTCTGCCCATCACATGTAATAAAGGAGAATTAAAAAAAGAAGATAGTAGTGCCTAAAGAAATTACAAATGATTTCCCTTTTCTGATAGGATTTTGATTAGGCTTTKAGAATAATAAAAATCTATTAGTTTTCAATATATTCAGTTACTTTCCTTCTCCATTGTGTTTATAATTGGCTAAAACTCCATTTGAATACCAATATCTTTAAGAAAATTTTGTTTAGTTGTAGATGGACACAACATCATTTGTTTATGTGGTGCTGAGGATTGAACCCAGTGCCCCTCACATGCAAGATAAGTGCTCTACTACCCCAGCCCAAATACCAATATATTTTAAATATATAATTATAAAACTACTCAGGGAGTTTCAGAAAATTTAGACAAGTGTACGATACTCAAAAGCTAAAAGAAGATAATAAAACCACCACTCAAATAAAAATATCTAACATTTTGAGGTGCTTTTTCTAGATCTTAATGATATTTTTGTAGCTTTTCTGGTGGTTTCGAATCTGAATATTTGTTTCACATTTAGGATTTGTTTTTTCTGAAATGCTGACACAAATCCTGAAATCTTTTTTATTCTATTGTCACAGAACAAATGGAAGTTGTGTCATGTTTCCAAAGGTCCAATGGTCTTTTTTAAAAAATATTTTTTTAGTTGTCGATGTACCTTTATTTTGCTTATTTATATGCAGTGCTGAAACTCAAACCCGGTGCCTCACACATGCTAGGCAAACATTCTACCACTGAGCTGGGTTGTAACCCCAGCCCAGTCCAGTGGTCTTAAGCTTCATGACTTTGGTAATGTTCACAAGCATTTTCAGGTAGGTATTCTGTCACTATGATCCTTCAGTTCACACAGTGGGAGTACTTAACACAGAGTATAGAAAAGGTCTGACACAGAGCTGGTGCTTAAAAAATATTTGTTAAATGTATGCATTAAGTCAATAGACAAATCAATTTTTAATCAAAAGGAAGATGAGGAGCTCAGTGATAAATTTCAAGTTAGGTTTGCTCTACTCCAGTACTAGGCATGAGCTTCTAGCTTTCTCCAAATTGCTGAGTGTCAGTTCTTTAGATGGTAACTTGCCTTAGATAGGCCCCTTCTTGGTTCTCTGTATCTAGCTTCTAGAGCTAGGAGAAAATACAGATTTATCTGTGATCAGACATTCTTGCTTCCAGATACCTGTCTGCTTCCAGCTGCTTTTCTCCCTCAATCTTATTTTGTACTTCCTTCTGGGATCCTTCTAGAGCTGACAGGTCATTATCTACTGGAATTGCCCAGACTCTGGAGCCCCACCCCACCGAGAATCCTGCCTAAGGCGCTGTAGTTCTGATAAAATGCAAAGGGTCCTCTTAGAAAGATGTTCAACACATAATAGATTTTGAAACCATTTTTCACTCAGTCACCTTTTTGTATTGGGAAGATGTGTGTTCTACTAGTGAAGTGTCTTTGCTTGTCTGATGTCTAAAATGGTRGCATAATTATGTTGGTGAATGAGTTAGTTCACTAAGTAGTTAGAGTCTGTCTATAAATTATAAGATCAACTTGACAGTGGAATTTAGGAATAATTAGAAGCACTTGGGAGTAGACACTGAAGATATAGGGGCTCCATAACCCTTCAAAATAAAGGCAAAAACTGAATGAAGATTTTCCTTTTTGATTGCTTATGGAAGATTGGAGAGATAAATCAGGCAACCTGTAAAAACTGACTGAAACACTAGTGATCATAATAAGATGCATGAAGTGTTTGTGTTGGAGACTCTGCTTCTCTGGCTCCCTGAAAGCTGAGGATAATCTGGGGTGACAGGGTAGGAGCCAACCCACCTTAACCTGCTCTCTTGGTAGACTAGAATAGGGACATCAAAGGAAACAGAAAAAATGAGTTTCATTCCAGTGTGACTCTATAGACAATACATTTGCCAATTAAGTGACCAAATATTACTTCTGTATTTGCAAGCCTTTTCTTTACAAAGGTACAGAAATGTAATTAAATATAAATTATATCTTTTTCATTTTGAAATCAAATTTGTAAGAATACAAATATGGGTATCTCTGTGAGAATATATTGTGGGAGATTTTTTTTTACTTCAAATTTCAAACACAATATACATATATGTATATATTAAACTTTAATCAGGGAATAAAGTATATTTCTCTCTAGATTGGGTGGGATGAGGGAATTACCATTAAGAAGAATAGAATGGCTATTTCTTTTCATTTAAATTTTCTGTCTTGGAATGTAGTAATTGCAGGAAGATTAAGAACTTCTCCGGGTGTACATGTAAATAAATGTTAAACACCCCAGCCCACACCAAGGATTTTATTAAAACTTCATATGCTCCAGAAACTGGGAAGAAAGCCCATGATGACCACCCCTCTCAGAAGTTCATGTCTAGGTCAGAGATGAAACCATGATTGCTTTTGTCCTGACAATGTCATTGTAAAGAAGAAAGGCTTTGTCACTTCTCTTGATAGGCACCAGAAGAAGGGACTTTGTTCCCCTTTAGTCTATTTCAGTCTTTCATCTTACCAGTTGCTTAACAGCAGCTGATAGGCTTGATGGGTCCCTATTGTGTTTTGTTTTAATAAACCAGAAAACGGAAGAAATTTTAATTGGTCAAATTATCAGAGATGTACATTATTAGTTCAAGTGTATGCATGGGATTTTTTTCTTTTCCAAATGTCACTGGGATTAAAATAACAGGAAACCGGAGATGGAAGCATTAGATAGGGGTAGACTTTGGCAGCTGCATGTGCCTACACTGCTACGGAGGACATCCTGGATGTAATGGTTGTTTAAGAAGATGGGGGAAGGGGAAGACAAATATGAGGACTGTACAAACACTACAAAGAGATAGCAACATTTAGCATTATGCCTCTTAATTCTCTGTCCCTAGAAAAATGACAACTTTAAGGTTTAAAAATAAATGAAAGTATTCTGATTTGCATCTTAATGTGAAGTGTGAGTAAAATAGCACCTTCCTATATGCACCTTGGAGGCTGCTTATGATCAAGATTAACTGTTTAATAGGGACAATTATGCTAATTTTGAGTGTATTTAAATAAGTGATCTTGTAGCTTAAGCAAAACTACTCTTGCTGTTTGAGAAAGGCTCTTTTGCCCCATAGGAACTTAAAACTTGAATTTTCTTGCTACATCAAAAGGCTGATGGAAAACAASCCATGATCTTAGTGCATAAGTACTTAAAAATGCCGCCTCCCCCATGACTTCTACTGAAGTCACTTGTAGTAAATATTTCAGTGGCCATATTTACCAAGTCATTTCTTCATTTATTGAAAACGAGAAATATGTAACAGGTACGGAAGGCTTTTCAGTCTTTATCTGTATCATGTTTCACTGAAGAACAGCCTATTGAGGAATTCATTTTAGTTAAGGAAAAAAAATCTCTTTGGGACTTGAACACAGGATTAAATCACAAGGCCAAAGCTTCATCTTCATTTGGTTCAAACTTAAAAACTGATTTTGGTCTATAGGCCTGATTATCTTACATTTTATAACAGGCTATGCAACAACTGTTTTATTCTCCTGCTTTATGTGTGATGAAGTCAAACATATGGCAAACTATACTATTACAGAGGAATCTTGATGGGTGGTTCCCCTCTGTGTCTCATCTATAATCCCATCACTGTTGGCCTACAGCAGGAAACCAGCTGCAGAGGGTGGCGAGGCACAAGCCTCTGAGCACATATGCACATTCAAGCAAATGCCTTGGTGGCCACTTAAAATCAGGAGGCGTTCACATGTTGTGTTTTACAGGAAAAAGTGAAGGGTGGAAAAAGAGAGCAGTTTGCTCCTGCATGTTCCCAACTTACCACACAGAATCCAGAGCCATCTGAGCACTCATTGGAATTACCGTTACAGTCACAGGGTAAGCATTCTCCTGACAGGGCGCGAAAGAATCCAGCGTCACATTTCTGCAACAGATGGAGTAAAAAGCATTTTAATTCTCAAAAAGTTCCATTTTGGTCAGTATTTTCTGAGAGAAGCAATAGAAGATGATTATTAAACTAACTAAATATGTCTTTAAAGGTATACTAAAATGAACTATTTATACTACCATTTAGTGATAGATGTTGTATACACAATGTTTTTTGTTGCATAATTTCTTTCCCTCTTCTTTCACTTTGCAGGAGAGGAGGAACACCCTTACCACTGTTCCATCAGTGAAAAGATGAACAAGAATATTTTAATAACAGTAAGAGAGAAATTTTCTAGCAAAGCAAAACCAAACCAAACAAACCATGACTGAGTATTATTCATGATGAGGAATTGCATTATGTTCCCTATAAACAAAGACTTCTGGTTTCAGAAATTACTGAGTATGGCCTAACTATGTAGAGCTGTAGCTTTCATAAATGTGGCCTCTTAAAAACTCATTTCTTCAGATTATAACATTTTAAAGGGAAGGGTAAGGAAGTTAATGAATTCTTACACTTGTTAGGCCCTGTTGGGTGCTGATTATATATTTCACAGTTCTGAGAGGAACAGATTATTTTCCTTTATTCTAGTGATGAGATAATGAGACTCAGAGAAGCTAAGTGGCTTGTGGGGAGGTTGCACCATTCTCAATGCACCAGTTGATCTGCACAATAATGAATTTCCCTCCCCAAACATCACCAGTGCCTTCAGCTGAGAAACACTGTGAAATGATCCGCTGTTTATGTGATTGGGCTTAGGATAAGTATTCAATGTGCTTTTGGGTCTGTCTCTGTGATGAAGGGCAGAAATGTCATGATAGGCCTGGAAGTGCACTCTGACCCTTCAGACAGGCTTCCATCTGAAGAATTCCAGACAGAAAAGAATGGTGATTGTTTTCACAGTCTTACAGAGTATGAGATTCAACATCACCCCCCTTCCATGGACCCATTGTAGTTTGTACTGTCTTGGCTACCAGGAAATTTTTCATRATATCTGGCTGAATTCCTTCTGACTGCTCTACAAACCCATTTCCTCTTATTATTATTTTTTTCTGTAAATAAAGAATGACTAGACACCATGCACAGCATTAAAAACACTACCTTTGGGGCTGGGGCTGTAGCTCAGTGGCAGAGCGCTTGCCTTGGGTGTGGGAGACACTGGGTTCGATCCTCAGCACCACATAAAAAAATACACAAATAAAATAAAGGCATGCTATCCATCTATAACTGCAAAAAAATTTAAAAAATACCACCTTTGTAGACCCCAAATTTAATATGTTCATTTTAAGGTTTAATAGAGAATAATGACATTGTCTGTGAAGAAAAGATATTTCACTTAAGTGAGAGAAAGGGAAGCTGAGGGGGACAATTTATAATTTATAATGGAGAGTTTGTGGCTGATGGTAAGTCTTTTTCTCAGTTTTTCCAAATTGAGAGGTAATAAAAGAGAGGAAAAGGCATTAAAATTGCAGCAGGAAGCATTTAATTTAGATCATCTAATTTCATGTTTTTAGGTATTGTCATAAAGTAAAACATACATGTTTTCACTCTGATGCAGTAGACAGATGGATGTGTTTGCCTATATCTATTTCTAGATATTCATATTCACATCTACAGTGATACCAATATAGACCTTAATCTAGACATATGTGTGTATAAGTATCAGGTTGTATGTACCTCAGAGATTCATAAGTAAATAACTTACTATGTGTGCTGTAACTTGAACTTCTCCATTTTATTTAAAAATGAATATTGCTTGTAATCCATAAAATTGATTTGATGACCCATGAATGCATTACATTTTGCAAGTGGCAGGGTTTTGGTTATAAGAGTAGTTTAGATTAGCATGGGTCTTAATATTAGTCATCTCAGTAATCCCCAAAACTGGTTTCCAAGCTCTCTGACCATATTATATTCATCTGAGGAGCTTCTGATTCAGTACTTCTAAYAATGAAGCCAAGTAATTGGGATTTTATTAATAAATAAATTTTGTATTTTAAAAGAACTTTAGATTTATAGAAGAATTGAAAAGGGTCTGCAGTTTTAAAAAGCTGCCCCCAAGATTCTGATATTCATTCCACCAGGTATAGAAAACATCTCTCACAGTGCTTAGTGTATGTTAATTTCTCAGCTAACACTAGGTGATTTGAATGGTTTGGAYCAGCATAGCACACTTGAGATAAGTTTTTGCAAACCATTGGTGTATACTGTTAACTTACCTACTGCTCTCTGCTAGGGCTGGGCTGGTCTTAAGTATTTCTCAATAGTCCAGTTGGACTGACTACATGCAAGATGAAATCTTTATGTTGTGCCAAATTTAGGAGAAAACTTCACTTGGAGAATTACTCATTATTCACTTATCTACTACTCCCCAGGCTGAGGCTATAACCTTGGGTGAGGCTATGACCTTGGGTGAAGGATGACTTGCTCCAGTCTCATACTGTGAGAGATGGRAAGAAAAAAGGGAGGTAGGGATAGGGCTGTGTTGAGCAGTCATTTGGCCTCCTGCCAAGAAAGGGATGGGGTGGAGGGTGGAAATCTAGCAAATTCCTTTCCTGCTGGAGAATGTCCACCTGAATGAATTACATTTTCCAATTCCTCTCTTCAGAGGGCAAGCATTACCACTTAAAAACTCACATGCATGCAACATATAGGGAAGTGGAAGCTCTGGGCATGGAGAGATTCTGATGCCACCAATAGAGCCTGTTTAGAAATTCCCTGAAATAGAGTTGTTAAATGGTTTTAGAGAAGTTTAATTATCCTGAAGGAAGACAGATTTGTTTCTTTGTGTGGAAATATTTCATTATGGCTCCTGAGAATCCTGGGGTCTTTTCACCGAATCTTTTCTTGAAATTCTACAGAAACTGGTAAATTAACTTTTTACAATAATAAAAGGCAAATATTTTCAAGAATGAAAGCAGAGCTATATTTCTCAGTTTTGCTTCTGGTTATCCATAGTATTTCTAACACTTGTGTTGTTTAGTGGCATGTGGGAATTGGTCTTCTCACAAACTAAATTGATGGCTACTTTCTTTTGGAAGATTCTCCAGAATTTAATGAACAAAGATGGGGTTTGGGTACRCACTTGAGCGCCTGAGCTAGAGAAGAAATCTTATAGTTGATGGTTTAGGTGCCATATGGCACACTCTTTCCTATGTGAGAAGACTGACCTACAGAAGACAATTAATAGGCAAACTTCAGAGGACATGTATCTCTTGGGACCTTTAAAAATTATAATAATAATAATAATAATAATAATTATAATAATGATTGTAATTAGTTACCATCAATGTCATTCAACTTTGTAAGAGGTTCAGACTGATCTAAATCTTCTTCTTTCTCCACTTTAACATGCTGTCCCTCATAAATAAGTAAATAAATAAATGAATTAAATTTTTATTTTTTTTTTTAAAGAGAGAGGGGGAGAGAGAGAGAATTTTTAATATTTATTTTTTTAGTTATTGGCGGACACAACATCTTTGTTTGTATGTGGTGCTGAGGATCGAACCTGGGCCGCACGCATGTCAGGCGAGCACACTACCGCTTGAGCCACATCCCCAGCCCCTGAATTAAATTTTTAATTAATTGAACATATCTAAGTCTCTGGGTAGGTCATGTTGCATAATTTTTCCTTTTGGCCCACAACAGACTTATGAAGTAGGTTCTATTATCTGCATTTTGCATATAGGGAAGTTGTGGCATATAGGGACTTATAGACCCAAGAAACACATGTAAGAAATGGAGGACACAGGCTTTAGATCCTTTTTTTTTTTTTCAAGTTTGAACTCTTAATATACCATTAGTATATTCAGCCAAGTCTTTCTTGTTGAATTTTTAAGTTGTTTCCAAAATTTTTGTTATTATAGACATTGTGAAGCAGGCTGAAATAGATAAAATGTGTAAACAATCATCTTTAAACCCAGAAAAATATTTGAAAATGAACACAATGCTTTAAAATATATAGATTATTAATGTATGAAACCACTGAGTGAGAATATTTCCTTTCAAAGTAATTTGTTTTTAAAAATTTTTTATGTTGACTAGTTACTGTCCACAAAATCATTTTATGAAGAGACATTTTATATCTCTCCATTATTACAGCTTTCCTCCTGCTCTACCATTAAGATTGGATTAAGGCAGTGCAGAGGTGCCTGCCTGTTATCCCAGCAGTTCAGGAGAATGAGGGAGGAAGACAGCAAGTTTGAGGCCAGTCTTGGCAACTTAGTCAGACTCTGGCTGTAACTCAGGGGTAAAGTGATCCTGGGCTCAATCCCTAATAATCCACCTCACTAAATTGGATTAATCAATACCATTTACTTCTGCCTATGAAGAATAAGAATAAAAATTCCCATTTAGCTACTTTGTTAGGAGTAGCATGAGGTCTGGCCTGTAGTTAAAAAAAAAAATCAGTATTTGTGAACTTGCCTAACTTCCATTTGTAGAAATCAGAACTAGAGAGAAGTTTAAAAGGAAACGAGTATGGGATGTCCACATGTGAACTCATGTTTAAAGGGACTTGGGAAAGTATAGGTGTCATTGTAGAAGGCATTATTTCCAGAAGTCCATTATGCAATCATAATATTAATTATTTAATGAGATAGAATTATAAAAAATTAAGACTGTTTTTTAAACAAAGGGGATAGTATTTATATAACTATGTGATCATTTTTGTCCTTATTTGAAGAAGTCCCTTTGAGAACACTAGACTCATACCAACAATGATGTCATTGTACAGAATTTTTTCTTAAAATTTTTTTCTTAAAAATTTAAAAATCTTGCTATTTTGAAGAACAGACCAGTCTGCACCCTTTGGGTGTGGTTAACTTCTAAAAGCCATTTGGAATTATTAAATAAAGTGAGAACCAAGCTAAGTAATTCAATTTCAGATTAAAAATTTTCAGAGAAATCTCACTCTATTTTCAAAATATTGTCACAGATGAGCTAGTTAACTAACCACAAGCCATTAATTTTTACACAGGTATGAATCTCTGTGCGTG